TTCTTTCTCTCTCTCTCTGTCTCTCTCTCTCTCTCTTTCTCTCTCTCTCTATATATATATATGTGTGTGTGTGTGTGTGTGTGCATACAAAGCGAGAAACAGATAGAGATAAAGTGTATATACCTGGTTCTTGTGCGAATCCTTGACCATAATTCAGACTGGATATAAACCAGCGAAACAATATGAAAAAAATATCTCAGATCGCTCAATTTTGGCTTCGGCGGTTTCACTACTCATCAACTTCTATTTTCTTCCTTATGACAGCCGGCAGAAAGGGCGAGTGAAAGTTTCTTTTGGTTGGAAACGGATTTTGAAATTGAAGTTTTAAAAGAAAATTAATGATTAGTTATTGTAATTATAAAGATGATAATAGGCCTTGGGGATTAAATAGATTTATTTATCTAGATTAACGGAGGTAGGTAGATAGATAAATAGATAGTTAGGCAGGTAGATAGAAAAGCAGGTCGATAGGTAGATAGACTGAGTGACAGATAAATCGATAAATAAAGAGATAGAAGCAGCTAGATAGACAGACAGACCGATAGATAAATAGACAGATAGAGAAATAGACAGACATACAATTAGACACACTGACAGATAGATAGATAAATGAGAAGACAGAACGATAGATAAGACACAGACACAGACAGATAGACACACAGACAGATAGACACAGACAGACAGACAGACACACACAGACAGATACACACACAGACAGATAGACACAGACAGACAGACAGACACACACAGACAGACACTCAAAACAAATAAGATGCAGAACAACTGACGTTAAAGCTTATGCCAAGAAATGCCCCGCCGTCTCCGGAGTTCGTTGAAGAAGATTCGGAGGACCGGACAGCGGGAAACATTCCTGGACGTGTAATATTGCCCTCGTATGACATTGTCCGAATGCCAGCCTGCCTGCCTTCCCCCCCCTTTCCTTCCTTCCTTCCAATCGTATTTCTTCTTGGTGGTCTTTTGTTCATGCTTTGTTTTTTTGCAATGCTTTTTTTTTTCTTTCTTTCTTTCTTTCTTTCTTTTCTTTTATTTATTTTTTGTTTTTGTTTTTGTTTTTTGTGACTTTTTTTTTTTTTTTTTTTTTTTTTACTCTTCTTGATATTCTATTTTTTTCTATTTTTTCTATTTCTCTTTTTGGAGTTTCGACGGTGCGAATAAGTACTTCTTGGGGTGTTTCGAGGGTGCGAATAAGCGAGATCGTTTGCCCGGCGGCTGACTTAGCCGTGATGGATGAAATGAGGAATGAAAACGGAGGAAGACCGAGAGACTTAATAGTTTTTGTTGCCTCTGTGTGTAGGAATGATGCTATTTTCAGCCTTATTAGCTATATGGAGTAATGGGGAAATTATTAAATTCTAGTTTAGGAAAAAAAAAACAAATGGGAAAGGAATGGAAAATAGTAAGGCAATGAGAAATAAAAAAACGGAGAACAAAGACCGAAAAAAAGAAAAAAAATATATATGTGCAAATCCTTTAAGAAAAAAAGGGAAATGAAATAAGATGAACAAAAAACGCTACAAATACAAAACCAAAGATTTCAAAAAAGGAAAAAAAAAACTCGACGTGTACCATATTTTCCCGCTGAGATATGAACCTCCTCCCGGCAGAGGCAACAAGACAATCCGATGTGTGTGTGTTTGTGTGTATTTGTGTGTGTGTGTTCGTGCGTGTGTGGATATGTGCGCGTGTGTGCTTCTGTACGCGTGTGTGTGTACGTGTGTGCGTGCGTATGTGTGTTATTCGAGTGAAAGGAGGGAAGGTTATAAGACAGGAGGAGAGCGAGGACGAGCGTTGAAGGGAGCTGGAGGCGAGGCGAGGAGAGGCCCTGGACGAGAATCCTGTCGTACTTTGTCAGGATGAAGGAGGCGGTGAGGGGGCGGGGGGGGGGGGGGGAATAGGGTCCGGCTCTTCGCGTCCTTTGCAACACACACGCGTACATACACATGAACGTATACGAGGCGTACACGCACACACACACACAGAAAGACAGATAAGGATGACTGTTTGAGAGAGAGAGAGAGAGAGACCGGGAAACAGATAAATAAATAGATAAAGAGTGAAAAAGAAATTGCGTGTCCTCGTGTGTGTATATGTATGTACGTATGAGTATGTGCGTGCATTATGTATATAAGAGTGTTAGGGAAGAGAAAAAAAAACACAACCTTTGCAAATAAATACATGCTTCATATAGGCCTTCACAAGTATCCCAACTAAGCACTTTCTATTTTATTTTTTATTTTTAAGAGAAATGATGAACGTTGGAGCCATCTTTCTAACTGATATTGCTCTTGCCGCCTCCCAAAATGACGTACGGCAAGCTACCCCCCCATCTATCACGTCTACGCATAAATCTTACGATATTTCTCAAGTTACAGGATACAGTGTTGCAAAGTCATCCGAACACTCCCCTATCCCATTGTGTCCTTACAGTGTTACCAATTTAGTGGGAATTTCGCATTGCCGGGACTTGTATATTATGAAA